ACAAAAATGCTCTTATAGTGCTTTTCATGATTTGTAGGTGATATATATATAAGAAAGCTAAGGAGCAGTTTGAGTCAAAGTGATGAAAAAGAGGCCAACTGTGAAATTTCCCAAGTGACCCGTGCAAAACAGGCCGAAGATTCAGAGTACTGGATCCACCGCGGTTCCACCCCGACCGCGGCAGAACCGCGGTGGGAAGCAGCTGCAGAAGATTGAGATTCCGCGAGGGTATTTGGCCGCGGTTCTACCGCGACCGCAGCAGAACCGCGGCAGGCGCAGTAAACTTCAGGGACCAAAGTGTCAATTACGGGATTTTTAGACCTAAACCCTATTTAAAACATTAGACTTCGCCCAAGAGAGGCATGTATTGATTTTTTAGGTTTCTTAGCAAGGAAAACCATTGTGAGAAAATACTCTAAACATCTTTCTTCTTTTCTTTTGATTTTATGATGAATTCAATCTTAGTTTATTTTCCCATAGCCATGAGTAGCTAAATTCCTTGTCTAAGGCTTTGATGGAACCTATTGGGTGATGAACTTCTTGTTTATGTGAATACAAATTGCTAGTTTGATCTTTATTTGTTCAACTTCGTGTTCGTTGTAGTTAATTGACAGGATCCTCAATTAGCTGTGCCTATTTAGTGTGCATAACTTGAAAAAGAGTGCAGGGTATTGTTGAACAACACCACTCCTAAATTATTAGAGGAATCTATAATTGCGGGTTTAAAGGCGGGATTAGGAATAACAAAGCCTTGGGTGCAATCTAAATTGAATTGTGCTAAATAAAGCAAGCTAGTGTACCTCGGGAGAGTGCAATAGTAGATTACTGTAATTACTCGGGAGAGAGTTGCGGTAAGATTAGCGTTCATAATTGATAGAGATGTGTGGGTAAATTTGTATGAGCATAAACAGAAGGGATTCCATCAATAGGGGAAATCATTGCCTTAGCTTTTTCTCATAATTGTTTACAACCTTATTAATTTAGTTACAGCCATTAGTTACTTGCAAGCTAGTTGTTAAAGAACACTCAACTGAGAATTTGAATATTTGAGAAGACTTGGTGGGTCTAAAGATAGCGGTTGGTAGGTTAACTCTCTGTGGATTCGACCCTGGGCGTAATACCCGGGTTATATTTGCAACGTCCGCAGAGTCTTTTTTTACAAGGCATAGTTGGGCGTGATCATCCAGCTTCAACGTGATAAATATTAATGGCTGAGAACGACAACAAGAAATTAAATAGTACGTAATTAATTACTAACCTCTGATCATAACTTGACTTGCTGCAAAGATGAAGATAGATGCAGCTTAGAGCAGCTATCAACATTATAGGAAATGTAAATAAAAGAAAATTTGTCCCTGCAGTAAAGAAGTGTCAATTAGGTTTAGGGCAAAGGTCCAAATTTGCTCCTCATCAACTTAAGGAAATGGTTCATGAGATTTGGTGTTATACTAACTTGGAAAAACGGGAAGATATTAGACTACGCTAATTTAATTAATGGAGTACCATTTACCTTGTTCTCTGAAATATGT